CAAAACATGTGCTTGATGCAGAAGCACAGGAGTCTGGGAAATCTTAATAGCAGCAGTCTCGTCAGAGCTGAGATGGACAGGCTGGCCGCTGTGTTCGCTTTATGCCGGAAGGCGGGAACAGTCAGACTTCTCTGAGTCACAGGCTCTGCACATGTCTGTTGGAGGTCTTTAGTCCGGGCACAAGAGACTTTCAAGATGGGATTGTTTCCCCCTCCGAGCACACAGTGGAGGGGCTGTGCTCTCAGGCTCTTGGCCGCAGTGCATCATGGGGCTTGTGACTGGTCCTCGTCACACTGGCCCTGAGGTGCTGACAACAGCTTGCAACCCTGTGGAGGCCAGGCCTTACCACCTGGTGGGCCTGGGGACAGCTGCGTAGGTGGCTGTCATAAGCCCCATGGATAGCACTGTCTATGATGGTGGGCAAGGGGTCCTCCGGAAGCTTCTCATTCTCCCCAGGTCCCCCCCATCCTGCATCAATTTTTTTTTTTTTTTTTTTTTTGGTGCACTGAATAGACCAGATGCTAGGCGTGTGTTCTATCACTGAGCTATATTCCCAGCCCTTTTTAAGACAGGACCTTGCTAAATTGTCCAGGTTGGCCTTGAACTTGTGATCCTCCTACTGCAGCCTTCTGAGTAGCTAAGATCACAGATAAGTGCCACCACACCTGGCTTCAAAGAGGACTCCTTGGGTTTGCACCTGTATGAGGTTTCGTTTCCTCTAGGAAGGGGAGCGCAAGGTTCAGGCAAAGCGTGCCATTTCCTGGGGACCAGAGCCACGCAGGGCCTGCGTGATCTGCTAGTCAGGCAAACATTCAAGGCAGCCCATTCCCACCTGGCTGGAGACTGACACTGGAAGGTAGAAGGCAGAAGGGGGCCGCAACTGACCTCTGTGCTCCTCCAAGCACTGACGCTGGGAACAGATTCCTCTGGGCTGGGCAGGGGCTCCCTGTGGACCTAAACGCTTCGGCAGCACAGGGATAGCGAGCTGTCAGGTGCTGCCCAGGGCGTACTCTGGGCTCCGATGTTCCCACGCTGAATAGCAGATCACAGATGGCTGGCAGCGTGCCAGTCTCTGGTCCCAGTGCAGTTTTGACCTGATGTTGCTGAGACCCAGGAACTGTTCTCACTGCTGGCCACCTCCAGGGAGGGCCCCCGAGCTCCCGCTGCCTCAGGAGTGCTGAGAACCCATGGAAGTGCTATTCTAGGCCACATGTGAGAGACTGTGTTGTCAACAGCTGTGTAAGATATTAAAAATCGTACTGCATGAGTGCTGTTCTTGTCAAGTGACTGTCTCGGCCCGCTGCAGAGCATGTATCCTTCCAGCCCTGTGTGCTGACACCAGCCCTGAGGAAAGCGCAGCATCACATGGCCTGGCTGTTGGCCTCTTCTCTTGCTGTTGTTTATGTATCTCCTACCGGCAAGAACTGACAGCTACTAGGTCATCCAAGTCGCTAACATTTTTTTTTTTTGTTTGTTTGTTTATTTTGTTTGTACCTGAGTTTGAACTTAGGAACTTGCACTTGCCAGGCTGGTGCTTAATTTTTTTTTTTTTTTTTTTTTTGAGACAGGGTCTTACTATGCAGTTCATAGTAAGGCTGGCCTCCAGCTCACTTTGTAGCCCAGGCTGTCTCAAACCTGCAATAATCCTTGCCTCAGCCTCCCATGTGCTGGGATTACAGACGTGCATCCATCAACACAGCTGGCTAACACTGTTAAAGTTCAAATCAGAGCTGTATTTAATTTCCTGTTTCTTCCACCGTGCTAGGGATGGAGCCCAGTGCTCTAGCGGAGTTGCCCCTGCAGCCCTCAGCCAGTTTCCCAAGTTCTTCGGGCCTGGCTCTGGGGTGGAGTTGGGAAGTACAGACAGGGTCTCAGGGCTTTTGCATTTAAATCCTCACCCCACAGAGCAGAAGGCAGTGGCCTTTCGAGCTCATGTATACCCGGAAGCAGGGTGTCCTGGAATTCGTAGCCTTTGCCTCATGCTGCAAGCTCAGAGCTGAGCTGCAGGCCTGGAAGTAAACCCTGAGCAACCTTGATATGGCTAATAGGATCAGCGGCGGGCTCGGCACGCTCCCTGCCCCTCCTCACACAGGCACTGGCTGTGCCAGGCCAGCAGGTTTGCAGCTTAGCTGGGGCAGAGGTGGAACAAGACAGCCAGGACCTGTCCTCCATGCCTGGGCCAAGAGACAGCTCCATGGCAGGCATGTCAGGGGCAGAAACATGTCTGTGGAGAGGATGGGAGCCGCCCTCAGGTCCCAAGGGACACAAACTGTCCCTCACACCCAGAAGGATTTTATTCTGTTCTCCAGAACAGACTGTGTGAATGGCAAAGTCAGAACATAGCAGCTATGCCAAGGGCAGTATGGAGCAGGACAGCAAGTGCTCAAGCGAGAGTTCAGGTCCCCTGAAACCTATACATGAGCACAGTGGTAGTCATATAATACGCCACTAAATGCCCTTCCATGGTGACAGTAGAGAGATGTATGATGGACCAGCAGCCTTCTCAGCATGGCAGACCCAAAAGCTGAGCATGACGTGGCTGCACTGACGTGATGTTTAGAAGTCACAAGGACAGAGTAGTGGGAGCTGGGGTGCAGGAAGGGACAGCAGCTGGCAAGGAAGGGACATGCAGAAACTATTTGGGGTGACAGAGCTGTTCTATTTCTCGATTAAGCATCTGTATGCATCTGTCAAAATGTGTAATTATACTCCAAAGAGCTAGCTTTAAATTTACGCTGCAATAACCCTGCCTTAAAAGAACAAGAGTAGGGATGGAACAAGGACTGTGTCTCGGGCCGAGTCCTGGAAGTGGTGACAAGGGCAGGGAGCTGACGTGGTGGTGCAGGGCCTAGCACTCAGGAGGCTGAGGCAGCAGGATCGCTGCGAGTTTTGAGGGCAGCCTGAAGTAGAGACCATGTCTCACGTGTGCGACGCTGCCTCAGTGTGATGGCCGCCTTCCAAGAGGATTCTGAAAAGGACAGCAGAGGTCTCCCAGGCCAGCAAATAAAACACAGCTTCCTTCCTACCAGGTTAAAAGCAGGAAGTGTGCGGTCAGTTCTCAGGGGTCTTGTGGGCCCAGGAAGAGGCCTGAAATGATCCAGAAGAGACACAGCTGTTGCCGACAATGGACATGAAATTTAATCGGCTGAAATCATGACTAAGCACCTTGGGAAGGGCAAGATGGCTTGGCTGGTGGCTGTAAGCGACACTAATAATATAAGCCTTTTAAGCTTCATGCTAATACAGATGTCCCACTTCTGTTACAAGGTGACACAGGGAGCACTGCTAGGGCCCAAAGGGTGGAACTGAACAGGAAGGACATGTAGGCCAACCCAAAGTACCGTCAACACCTGAAGTATTTATTCAGATTATCTTCAAAGTTTTTACATATGGTACATTCTGAAGATTCCAAGTTGTCCACAGACACTAAAGTTATAGCCGACTTTTTTTTAGCACTTTTTTGTCTCTTTTATTAGTATGTCTGTAGTTCATGACTTATTAAACAGATATGATTTTCCCTGATATGGAAAGCAGGTTATATAAACATTTCTACAATAAACAAATCATGCAGGATGAATTGCAAAACTACGATGCTTCCTTAGGTAGGGAAGAGCGCCGACAACGGGCACTAAAGTGTGTGCGTGCCGCCATCTCCTCCTCCTCCATCTTCTGCCTCCTTGGGGAGTGCAATCCCGAACACCTGCTGCTGCCTCCAGGCCTCTGGGCCTCCACGAGGTCAGGCCTGAAGGCAGGCACGCTGTTAGATCTGCTGATGCTTGTAACACAGTTAGGAAGGGAAAGCTGGTCTTATGACGGTAAGCGTGGCACACGTACAGAGCAGCTCGAAGAAGCTGAACTCAAAAGCTAAGAAACTGTACAGCACAATAAAAATTTTTCTTTTCACAGCCCAGATTGTGTAAATGAAAAAAGGGAATGAGATGCGCACGCTAATCTGCAGTTTCTTCCTCTTCGGTCTCCTCTAGCTTTGAGCCCAGTCCCAAGCAAAATACTACTTCCGTTAAGGCGAGTCTTGGAAGAGGGGGTTCTGCCATGTGACCTTGCAGAGACGCGGCTCTGGCTCCTGGGGACGCAGTGGAGCGGGCAGTTGGGCCAAACAACGTGGAAAAGAAATTTGACAGAAGCTGAGTCCGAGGGTCACTTGCATTAGCTCATGATGCTTTCGTTATGCATCTGACTTAATCCCAAGTAGAGAAAGTAGAGGCGCAGGGCCCCACCGCGGGCACTCGGGCCTGGCGGGAGCGGCTGTTTGATAAAGCTTTCTCGAAACAGCTACTGTTCTAGGAAGGCACCTCTTAGGAGAACAGTAATGGCTAAAAGATCTGGAAGCCTGGCTGCAGACTGGCCCCGAAGGCCTAAGCAAGCCAGAGGCCTGCAGCAGTCCCTCCGCTCCCGGACCGCCTGCGGGTGCCCATGGCCGGTGCTCCGCCTTCCTCATTTCTGCTAGTGTCTGAGCCTAGATGCACCTTCTCAGTCTAGCTTTGGGGAGAACACGCAAGTATTACTACCTGAACAGAGGAGATTTTTAAAGTTTCAAAAAGCCCTTTTAGTGAGTTCTTTCAAAGCCAAAAGTCCTGCCCAAAAGAGAAGAACGCAAAACCCAGAGCCCTGCCTTCTGCAGCTCGGCAGAGGCGGGGAAGCCCTGAGAAAGCGGCCGGCCTCTCGCACCGCAGCACAGACGCTCCCTGCTGCGGCCCGCCCTTCGGCCTTCGGTACTGGTGCTCTGTTCTCAGAGGTAGACTCCAGCAGCGGGGGGGACACGAGCCCTGTCCCCAGGCTGAGCCCTGGAGAGGAGCCAGGACAACCTGTGGCTCAGACACGGCTCCTGCCTCCTGCCTAGAGGCTAGGAAGCAGGTCCTCGGTGGAGCCTAAGACCTGACCTGAGACCTGAGAGACACAGCAACAGTCTGAGAAAATCTGGTGGTGGAAAAGGATTTTCATCAGTCCCTGGAGCCCGAAACTACAAAAATAAAACTGGGAAGTAAAACTTAAATAAAGAATTTATTTCAAAATTCAGCAGAACTATTTCCCACTTTCTTCCTTAAAAAGCCGACTGGGTCATGAAACTCCAGGAAATTCACATTTTTGGTGGTGAAGTGCTCATAGATGCTGCCAGTCAATGCCAGCTAGGGTCTGGTTTGCCTCCTGCGCATGTCCGATTTCCTCTGTGATGCTGTGCTGGTGCCAGAGCTTCTGGATCTTCTTAAATCGCTCATTGCACAAATGCAAAGGGTTTCCCCGTCTGAAAGGAAGACGCATGTCACTCAGATGTGTCCTGCTAATGAGGCCCACGCAGTTTCTGCCCAGCAGGTGACCGTGGCTCTGCTCTGCAGGCTAAGGGCAGCTGGCAGGGCCTGAGCTCCACCTATCCTGGTGAGGGGAGCAGGGTCTGGCCCAGAGCCTCAAATACACTCTGACCCCTGGGGCAAGGGTGAGTGCCTAAGGACAGGAGGAAGCACACTCCTCAGAGCACCTCATGGTGTAATTCCATCACTGGCAGCCGGGTTGCCCTCAGAGGGCACAGTCCTCTGGCTGCGACGCAGGACTCCACCCGTGTGCCCACTCTCCCAGCACTGGGCTGGGGGACAGCACCATCACTAGGCTGCAGGTGGCCCAGGGGCACCCACCAGGTGCACGAGCTGGAAGCAGCTCCTCAGCCTGCACGGCAGAGGAAGCTGCCCCTCCTCAGGGCACACAAAGGGCCTAACAGGAAGGCTTCAGTCTGCCTGGTGACTGCTAGTGCCTCGCCTATGGAGCAGGGCAGCCAATGGCAGAAGCTGCCAAGTGTACACGCGGTCACATCTTGTCCCGCTTGTTCCAAAAACCTTCATCCTCCGGATCCTTAGATGATCATAAGACAAACACATCTCCTAGCAACTCAAATTTCTTTTCTGACACCTGGAGGGCCCTGGGCTCTCCTGAACAGAGCCACACGTGTGAGAATGGGCCTCTCTGTCCTGCTCTGAGCTGGGATGAGAAGGGGCAACTGCAGGGCCTCAGGCGCCCCTGCCCCACCCTCCCAGGTGGGCACCACCCGCATAGGGGCCACAGATAACACGGTCCTGTGCATCCCAAGAATGGGCCATACCTGAGTCCCTGGTCAGTCTCCCCGTAGTCGTCAAGGTAAGGAGGAGAATAAAAACAGCCTTTGGTTTTGCCGGCTAAGAATAGCACCTGACATTCACGTACTCTGCAGAAAGAAGTCATATTGTTATTAGCAACCAAGGTCTGGAGCCAGGCCACCCAGAGGGGTCCCACAGGTAAAGCCCTGTCTAGGGAGAGGACAACAGCACTGACAGAAGAGAGATGCTGAAGGTCCCAGCCCATCTGGCCCAGTTTTCCAAGTAACTACAGTGACCGTACTCTCATCAGTAATGACCACACTGAGAATCCATGGAGCCGCACCTTGGAAAGGAACGGAGGGCACGAATAACAGAATTAAAACAGCGCTAAGCATGAAAAAGATAGCTAAGCCCTACACAGAAAATAGGTTCTATTTCTTTTTTTTAATTTTTTTGCCATTTTGTTGTTTTTTTTTTAATTTTTTTTCAAAGTTTTATTGATAAACAGATAGCAATGAGACAGTTTCAAATCAAATTGGAAGTACAGTTTCAACAAATATTACTCTGCATATATTCTTCTTAGTGGTTAATTGCTGTACAAGATGCGGACTGGTTCTACTATTTTAACCACTATTTAACTTCAGGCAGCCCTCACCTTAGGAAGATGCCCGCACCGGAGCCGCAGGAGTACGTGTGTGCAGTGCAGGCGCCGACGTCCTCCCCTTCCAGCTCCGTCTGGCAGCAGTAGCTCTGTGAGCACAGCAGTGTCCCGCACACGAGGCACAGCGTCGGGGCTCTGCTCTTATCACCACCTGATTTGGGGCACCTCCAAGGACCAAAAGCAAAGAGAACCATGCATAAATCAAGATGCAACTCTGGGGCCAGGGAGGTGGCTCAGTAGAATAAGCACTTGCCTGGCAAGCACAAGGGCCTGAGTTCAATCCCCAGTTCCGCCAAAAAAAAAAAAAAAAAAAAAAGATGCAACTGCTCAGTGAAGAGCACCTGGCAGTGGGGAAGCCACCCTGGAAAACGAGGTGGTCACGTTACATACAGCCAGAGACGCACAGATCCTACAGGTACCACAGCAGCAAACAGACACGAAAGCCAGACTGGAAATGCTCAGTCCCAGCTGAAGGCATACGCAAACGCGCAGCGGAGAAACAGATGCGTCCTGTGCTAGTGTCATAGGATGAAGCACCAGAGTGGTGACAAGCAACGTCACACAGACAGAAACAAGGCACAGTGAGACCAGGCTACAGCGCGCGCACAGGGCAGTGCGAGTTATGTAAAGTTTAAAACATGCAAGATGATCACATGTGCTGCTCGGGAATGTAGGCCGTACAGGTCACACAGCAATGTGCTTTAGGACAGGGCCACTGCAGGGGACAGAGCAGGCAGCGGCAGAGACTAGAAACCCAGGGCCTCAGCTGTTCAGGTAATGCTTAGATCTTAGTCTACTGTGCTGTCCTTTCTCCTGCTTGTATAACAAATATTTGATACCGCACACAAGTCACTAAGGGCCCTGCTACCTCCAAGTGCTACTTCTACTCATGCAGGCAGACACTCGTGGGTCAAGCGCGCCTGTCCCCATCCCTGTCCTGCACCTTACTCTGACACACGGCAGGCAGGGATGCTTTTACAAATACGTCAGAGCACTGCCAATGACAAGATACTCTTACCCAAATCAAAGAAAGCCACCACCAGATCCCTCATTCTTTGTAGAAAGGCATTTCCAGCACAAAACTTACGAGAAATTGGATGCTTGATTAATGAGGCTGCTGTAATCCTCGGGAAGGTCTATTAATCTGTTTGATTCTCTTGGATAACTTAAAGAGAAGTAAAAAGATAAAGATTCAGTTACTGTAAGGTCATCTTATAATGACAGAGTAAGCCTTAGCTTAGTCTAAACAAATACCAGAAGGTACATCTGAGTGACCACAGGCTAGGCCTTGAGATGTGAGTCAGAATAAGAAATTAAAGATTCAGTCGCAGCGTTAGCTACCGTGTCTTAGGGCTCACATTTTTACTCAGAGGGCTCCGAGTAGGTGGAGGAGGAGGAAGGGGAGGGCAGCAGAAACTGTGCTTTCTCAGATTCTACCAGAACACCCAGGAAAGGAGGACGCACAGCCACAGAGCCCGGGGTGCAGGGATGGAGGGGACGCTTGTGAGGAACAATCTTAAGGTGACACGAATTGGAAGACAGAAGGCAGCAGCATTTTCTTTCAATTAGAGCTATTAAGTCATGTTGATTCCATGTCTTGAATTAATTCAGAAAAGCTCAGATGCAAGGCTGACCAGTGTCTGCACTATGTGTGCCTGCCCCACGCGGCCGGGGCGCAGCCCTTCACTACCTCACCTACTGCCAAGACCAGGCAGGGCTGCACCACACTACGGCTACTTGGACCACAGTTCTGGCCTCCACCAGAACCGCCCGGCAGAGTTCTGGGGGTGCACACATGCTGGGGCCCTCCTTCTGAGAAATCAGACTCGGCAGTGAGAGGCTTCAGTGCTGCCTCAGGTTGAGAAAGAGTTCTACGGGCTCAACTGCCTTCAGAGTGGAACCACATTAACCCGGGGATGTTCAAACCATTTTCGATTTATGAAAGTTGAAATTTCACATTGTTCATCCTAATAAAACTGGATATACCACTTCGGGATATGTAAAAGCAAACAAACAGAACAGACTTCTCTAGTCTTCTGATTTTGAGGGGTGATGTATTTAGCAGAACCAAGGACATATTAAGAAGTGAAATCCATCTGGCATTCCCTAGAGGAGCACACTTCACTGTAAAATCAGAACTAATGCAAAGAGGAGGAAAAAATAAAAATGATTGGCCATGATTTGATTAGTGGTAGATGACAAGTGTGTAAAATCTCATTATACTAAATTCTTTACAGTTTTAGATAGTTTCAAAATTTCTTTAATAAAAGAGAGACACACACAAAGAACCAGAGCCAAGACTAGACATCTGTGTGACTGTGACTATGGACTGAACTCAGGGGCTCACACATGCTAGCCAAGCGTTCTACAACTCAGTTACACTACCCAAGCCCTTTTTCTTTTTTTAAAAAATGTATTTAGTACAGGGTCTCACTACATAGATTGGACTTGTGGTGATCCTCCTGTTTTCAGCCTCCAAACACTGGGATTATAGGCCACCTTGCCCAGTCTCAATCGGCATCTCAGTGTGCCCGGGGGGCAGGGCAGGGCAGGGCAGGCACCGCATGCTGGAGATCGAATCCTGGCTGCTGCATTCTGCCTAAGCAGGTGCTTTAGTCAACTGAGATATCTGGCCGGCCTTCCTTTCTTTTGGTACCAGCCATCAAACTCAGGACTTGGGGCTTGATATGCAGGTGCTATGCTGCTGTACTATGTTCCTGGCCCCTCTTCATTTTTGGAGATAGGGTCTATGTAGTCCACGCTGGCTTTGAACTTGTCACAATCTTCCTGCCTCAGCCTCCCAAGTCTGGGATTACAGATGTGTACCATCATGTCTGGCCTTTTACTTTGAGATTGGTCCTGCTAAATTGCCTAAGGTGTCCTTAAACTTGTGTTCTTCCTGCTTCAACTTCCTGAGTATCTGGGATTCCAGGCATGAGCCACTGCTGCACCTGACTAGAGCCCAAAGGTTCTAAAGCAAATATTTAGTACAAAATACGTTATCTTTCTTTCACCAAAATACTGCAGCCTAGCTATCTCCTCAGCTTTGACTTTTACAAACCCTTACCCATAGACTGAGGAGTATGAAAGTGTGACACCATACCTTTGGGAACCACTGAAGTCTTAGGAAGTCAGTTTTGAGGAAACAGCGCTTCTATCCCTAATGTCTGCCCCCCAGTCAAGCCTTTAATCACCTTTAACTTACCTGATTGCATCTCTTTCACCCTGTAAGTATCTTTTAACTTCACTGTTGTGACACCAACTTGAAAAGAGAGATGGAAAGAATAGAACATTTTTAAAG